AGGTGGGAGGCATGGGTCACCTCCCCCCCCCCAGCCTGGGGCCTTCCGGATTCAACCTCTGGCTGGCTTTGCCACCTAAAAGGATCTAGTAAGCTCAATTAAATGAGACTTGGCTCCTTGGGAAAAGCTGGGCTTTAATGAGGCACAATCCCACGAGTGACCTTTTTCTTCCTTGTCTTTTAAACAACAAATCTGCTGCTTTAAAGGGATGATTGCTGTGGTTGCAAAGCAGTTTGGGTTAATTCACTCCTCTGTTGCCCGCATTAAAAACTGCTAGTTATTGGCAACCTCTACAACTTCCCAGGTCTTTAAAAACTTCCAATTGTTTGGGTGTTTTTAACCTGTGAAAAAGCTACAAACAGATTTGTGATCAACAATGAATTTGCATGAGAAAACAGACTGTGATTCAACCAGCTTGTTCACACAACCTGCAGAAGTGCTTCGCCTACTGAAGTCAGTCACTTCGTGGCACCAAATCTGAAATCATGACTCATGGAAATTTGTAATGGAAAAGGGAAATTATGCTCTTTTTTCAGCTTTGCACTCCTCAGGAACAAAAATCAGAATAGCTGTAGAAGTTTCTGTGCCAGCTAGGAACCGAATCCTGCTTGCTCAAGTAAAAGTTCAGCCGACGCGCATTTGTGGGTTTGGAAATGTATGTATTTCATCAGTTTGTTTAGTCACTCATTACGACCATTTGCAGGTTTTATTCTAATGCGCAACAGGACACACTTTATGCAGTTAGGGGAAAATGTGCACTAGGAAATAGGGCTTTGCAGAGCTGAGAGGGTGGGCCTCGATGAGGAAAAGGGCGGCTTCTGAAGCAAAGCGGATCAAAGGCAAGTACAGGTCGGGAGGATAGCAGCTCTTTTCCTGCCCCTTCACATTCACACAGATCAGGTCTTTGGGACCGACCGCCTGCCTAGCAAAAAGCTGTAATTAACTCACGCATCTTAGGGGCAGCAGCAAACGTGGGGATGGCTCCAGAATTAGGCCGTCCGCCATTTTCTTAGACGTTACCAAGGCTTGCTTTCTTTGATGGTCAGAGTTTCACCCTCCGAGACAGACTTGCTTACTCACAACCACCTTCTCAGGAAATGAAGGTATTTGCACAACCGGTTTCTTTGCATCTCCAGGAGTGCCTTTGACTTTGCCTAGGAGCCTTGAATTGGCCTTGGAGGCGGCTTCCCGCAGAGAGGAAACCTGTGAGCTTTCTGCAGGTGCCCAGGTTGACCGCTGGTCACTAGAAGGCCCGCCGGACAGCCTGGTCATCAGGCACCGGAGCAGCTCTCCTCCACGGACACGGGTGCAGTGCTACTTGGCTGGTGCCTCCGCCCACCACTAGGAAGGAGATACATCCCTCCCTGACAATCTTTTCTAGCAAGGCCCACATCCGCATGGAAATACGCACATGCATTAAGAATTTGCTCCAAATTTAGCCAAAGCCCAAACAGAGGGGCCCCTTCAGAGCATCTCTGGTGCTTCCCAAGGTAAAGCAGCAAGAACGGAGCCCCGACTCAGGTGAGCCTCGTCCCCAACCTGAGCTCCAGAGCTTCCCCAGGTGGTGACTTTTGCTTCTGTTGCTCTAGACGCCGACTGTGAGCAGTACAGAGGGGAAGTCGGGCTAAGTGACTGACAAGTGCACCTTCTACCAGATGCTCCCCTCCGTGTGCTCAGTGGGGGGGGGGGGCAAGGATCGGGCCCCGAGATGGCTGCTCTTCCACTCTTGACATGCTTCAGGATGAAAAAGCCTCTCACTCGCTGTCCAGCTTCATCGCTTCCGAGCATCATCATATTTTGCACCAAGAGCTGCAGCTTTCTTGCATGGGGCATTCGTGCCATTTTCATACTAATTGCACCCCCCCAAAAAATAGCGAGGGGAGAAAAAGGGGCGTGAAACACTCTTCACTCGCATGCAGAAAGAGGAGTCCTCTTTTACATGAGCTGCTGGCTTATCCTCCAAAACTTTAGAGCTTTCTCACCTAGGAGCACAGCGAGGCTTGTGTTATTTTCTGGTCTTCAAGGAACGTGGGCAAATAAGCACCTTCTCTTCTGGAGAGTCTCAAAATGCCAAGGCTGCTTTTGCACAAAATTCCCTGGACGTGTTACTCTGAAATTTGGCAGGCTTCATCTCCTCAGAAGGGTGAACTACCCCTGCAATTTGCATCCAGCTCTGTCAAGAAATAAAAGTTATCCGTGGTTCCGTTTAAAAAATTCAAAATGTAAAGACTCGTAGCAGAAAAACCAGCGCGTGTCTATTTCTAACATCTGACAGGCATAATCCTTACCTAAGGGGATCCTAGGCCTGCCAGTTCCTTCTAATTCTGACGAAGAGGAAAAACTCCTGGTCACAGCCAGTTCTCGGTGCCACAAGATTATTAGCCGGAAGGCATGAAGCCACAGGCCTCCGATCAGGGTTTGGCACCCCCATAAATACAGGCACCCCCTAAATCCAGTTCTCACACCTGTGTCTACCTGGGAAATTGCATGACGACCGTGCAGCTTCAAACTCCAGTTCAGTCACAGGTTTGCTGGTGCCATGAGACTCCAGAATTACTGTGTCTCTGCTTTAGTTCCTGATCTGTGAAATGGTAATAAGAATAGTGAGTTTTGGGGCATAACGCCTGAGAGGAGTTTTGCGATGCTGCGACGGGCTCCTGTAGGAGCAGCTGCTTGGCTTGCAGGCAGTGCAGCCCTCCTGGCTCTGCAAAATTTTCATTAATTCGAAATGCTTCTGCATTGCCTTTCAGGGCAAACGCCGCCCCAGAGCAGCTCGCCTAATTGCAATCCCTTATTTTTTACAACAGAAAAATCAGTAGAACGAGCAGGCACGGGCAGCAAGCAGCAGCATCCGGCTCCTCCAGTGGCCACATCTCACACGGAACTGCAGAAAAGCCCAACAACCATCCCAGAACTCAGTGAGGAAAGGGGCGAGAGCTAGCCGGCGCACCGTTTCTGTGCCAGCGGGCGGCTGGCACCCCATTTCCCATGGCGTCCAAAGCAGGACACCGTGTCTTTGCCCCCTTTTCAGCGAAGGGCTCCGGCTCCGGCTCAGAACCTGCCTGGCACACCAACGCGCCCCAAGGTTGTCCTCGGCCTCCCCGGTTAAAATGAAGCGCGGATGGGGCAGGCTCCCAGACCCACGGCCAGCTGCGGGCCGAGAGAGGAAGGGCACGCCTCCGTGTGCCGGTCTCTGGCCGCTCCGGCTAAAAGGGCAGGGCTGCAGGGCTGTGCACCCGGAGGAGCGCTGCCCGAGAGGGGATGTCACTGCCCCGAGCAGGCCTGGCGCTGGAGTCACGGGCTTCCCCCATCCGGACCTCCTGCCTGCACTCGGCGCTCGGCACCTGCAAGCCTTGCAGACGTGTGCGCGGGAGGTGGATGGTTTGGGTCTCAAGAGGTCACATCTGCGCGGAGCCCTTGGAAGGGTGCCTTGGGGAGCCACGCGGATGCCGGACAGGCAGGCAGACCGGCCCACAGCCCCTGCTGGAGCTTCGCTGGGCCTGGGAACAGAGGTCATGGCCACCGCTCAGGCCGCGCCCTGGTCTGAAAGGAACCCTTCCTGTGCGTTCTGCGGCGGGCCAGGTGCCGGGAGTCCTAGAAATGCTGCTTTCCCAGAGCGCCTCGCACAAAAACTGTGCTGGGCCAGGCTCCCTTTCCCCACTGCCGGCACAGCCAGCAAAGCGTGGTGTGGAAGAGGGAGGGGAGGGGAGGGGAAGGGCGGGGAGCCGGGGTCCCGCCAAGGTGGGCCGAGGAAGGGTCCCGAAATGGAAAGCAACGCTCTGCGCAGGACTGCAAGGCTGACTTCCAGGCTTTGGCTCACGTTCAGCAGGCGAGGCTCACGACTGACATGCCTGCTTTACCGAAGGGAACCGGGGAGGGAAGGCAGAAGTCGAGAGGAGAAACCGCACGGCAGGTGCAGGCATGGCGAGGGCAGGGAGAAGGCAACCGGAAAGGGACGGGGCCGGTGCGCAGCGGGCCAGGGGCAGGAAAGGCGCGCCCACCGCCCAAGGAGCCCAGGGCTGGAGCAGAACCGGCACCCTCCGCCGGAATGTTCTTATCCGCTGCCGCGCATCTGCTGCGTCTGTGTGTGTTTTCCGCCCCAAACATTCAGAGCACCGTAATTGCCAATAAAAAGAACCACAAGTCCAGAAAATGGGCTTTGTGCAGATTGATTCCTGCTCCTAAATGCTCCGAGGTGCCTGTGCGGAGAACCCAGGTAAGAAAGGGGGGATCTCCATCTAGTGGCGGCGACGCGCACCTGCCTCCAGCCGCCTTCCCAACTTGTTGCGGATAAAATGTGCCTGCGGCCGCCGAGGCTCTGCACCCCGCCGTTGCTCCCCCGTCTCTTCTGGGAAACGCTGCTGGCGGGGCAGCCGTGGAGGCCGCGGCGCACGGGCGCAGGGCCGAGACGGCGGCTCTGCTCGCGCCGGCCCTGCACCCGCCGAGGCCCTTTCATGCGGAGCACCGGCTGGGCGGCCGCGGCGGCGGCGGGAAGAGCGCAAGGCTGCGGGGGCTCGAGCGCGACCCGCACCGGGCCCCTGGGGGCGCGGGCAGCCCGGCCCGCCGGGGGTGGCCCGCTCCGCATGGGCCCTCCGCGGCCGCCCCTCGGC